AAATGATCCCTTTCTGGCCCCCAAAACCGGGTCTCGCTCATCAAATCTCTCCATCCCGCCTTGTGCCCACATGTCCACCACCCACTTGTCTACCTACTTTCCCCTTGTCCACCTATCAGATCAAAAGGAAGAAGAGTGTCTCGTTATGGTTAGAGCGCGAAGAGAGGGGTCGTCTCCTGCTCCCTTCTCGTACGAGTGCCGCATCCCCCAACAGGCAAAGCTTTGATCCACTCCATCATTCCAGAAAAAAACGAACGAAAGGAATTATCAATACGGCAAAGATTGAAACCAAACCGGCGATGTTAATGCCGAGGCCGAACCCGAGCCCTGCGCTGCGCTGTGACTGCACTTGGTGCTTCCATTATTAAAAATCCTCCTGCGTTGTTGCGTACCACTCTCGCCTGGCAACGTCGAAGCCGAATCGTCCGCATGTCATGTTCGAGTCCGCACAGACTTCGCGTGATGACAAGCAGGTGACTGATCGATCGGCATGGGGTCACTCATGAAGATGCGTGTATCCTAGGATGCTCACTCTCCTCGGGGATCAACGAGTCATGCCGATGATAGATATGCACAGGGACGATTCGACGACAAATCTCGCGCAAATGATTTTGAGGGAGCAGTGCCCGACGGGAAAGAGCCTGACATGAGTGAGCAAACACCAATATGAGATACTCGGTCCTGCGCTCGCCGCCACCAGGGCAAGCACAGAACCCTGGATGGTTTGGAAAATGAGATGGTGGTGTATCTCCTCCACTCCCCAAAAACAACAAAGCTTTGCTTGAGCGACCCCAAGAGGGCTGTTGCCCATGCCTTTCTTGAGTCTTTTTGGAATCATGTTGACTTGATTGGACGAGCCCAGCATAGCAAAGTGGTCATCGAGTCGCAGGGCTCTGGAGTTTTAGCGACTGCGTGGGTTTTTAGTCAGGGGAACGCCAGCTCGCCGGTGAGCACTACGTCTCCCAAGTACCGAGTGCGTGTGCCGACCGAGCAGCACCCAAACAATCCTCGTCTCCTTCTCGCCTCGTCCCTCTGTCCCATACCATGACACCGAGCATGTGGGCACACAGCGGAGCCGCGTGATGATAGCCGCCGTGGCCCGTGGATGGGGGGGTTTAGAGGCAGATGTATCGGTAGGGCAGGTTTCCAGGACCTCCACTCGCGTCACCGGCGTGTCTCGCTTGCTTATGTGAACGAGCTGGGTGGGCCCTAGCTGGACTTTTACTTGTACAGCTCCAAGAAGCACCTTTTGCAATCAAATTACTCAGAAAGGCAACGGGGCCCAAGGGAAAAGCTGTCGCCGACTCGCTGATTTGACATCGGGCTAGGGTTTCGACGACCTGCGAGTGTGCAACGCCATTTTGGATCGAGACAAGAATATATTCGTGTACCTTGCCACTCTGTTCCTGTTGACGACGGACAGATCATCGGGGAATAAAAAACTCAGACTATGGCTCTAGCTAGCCTCCGGACAGCTATTTTTTCATCATCATCATCATCATCATCATCATCATCATCATCATCCTCTTTCTTAGAGGTTCCTCCCCGGTCGACGACTATTTTTCCTACTTGTACCAAGTATATGTGTTTCAAGACGCGTTTTGACGGTCCTTGGCTGACTGTACTGCCATTCCCCGAAAGGCGGCATTTGGCGGCTCTCATCCCGCCTCCGCTCCCTTTTTTGGTGGTGTCGGGTGCGACTAGTCAATCCTACTCGCTTACCGCATGCAGGTTCTGTTTTCAGTCCCTTGTCTGTCATGTCTGTTATGGTAGACAGAAAGTCCAAGGATCGGGCGTTGAGACCAGCCGGGCGCAAGCCGGTCGTTAAAGGTCGGCGGAAAGGGCAGGTGGTGGGGTTAGAGACACAGGAGAGAGACACGCAAGGAGATGCACACGGGCAGAGAAGAGGGATTGTTTACGAGTATACGAGTATACGAGGTACAGGTAGGTATTTTCAACCAAATGGTCCCCGACGGCAGATGACACGGACGGACGCGCCAGTGGCAATTAGTGAAGGGAGTGTCAGCAAACAATGATACTTGGGGAGGCACATAGGAGGAGCCTGGACGGATCGACGGACCGGCCACCCTCCCTCCAACCCAGCTCAATGGATGAATGAATGAATGAGTGAGTGAGTGAATGGTAGGAAATATCCAGTATTCAAGGACTACATGGTTCTTGGTACTCGCTGTACCGCGCGCACGAGTATCTATCTACCTACCTATGTACCTATGTACATACCTACCTATGGACAAATTAACAGAAGGTACCCATCTATCTACGAGTAGTACCTCCTGTACTGACAGAATCTACTTCCCTCCGTACCTACAGTACATACAGTCCCTCAAAGCGCCTGAATACCTACCTACTCACAGTACCTGTCTACCTGTCTACCTACCTCTCTATCTACCTATCTACCTACCCTGCCCACAGAACCTGCCTGTATATACAGTTCCTGAATACCTACCTTCTCCCTACCCGTCCAGACAAGCAGCCACACAGGCGCAGAGACCCTGAGTACTTACAAGATTCATCGATGACCACTTTGTAGGTACTAGATACCAAGTCCTCGGTACTATATGTCCTAGGCAACTCGGTTTTTCGGGTCCCTCAATCAGGAGTCCGACTAGGTAGGTCCTTGTTTTTTTCTAAAGAAAAAAACAAAACAAAAAACTACTGAGCGCTGAGGTTGTGGATGAAGCTGAGGTCCAGAGAAAAAAAGGGAATGGGGACAAGGGACAAGATGAGGACAATGACGAGCACATTGATTTACCTGGATGGATATGGATGGATAGGGTTATAGTCGGTCATGGAGTATAGATGGATATCAATGACCTGGTGATGAGATGACTTGTCGAGCTGTCGTCCGATTGATTTCCAGTCTATGAATGATTTCCGAGAGGGAAGCTGAACTTGAGTCTGAAGCTGAGGACGAGGACGAGGACGGACTGCCTCCCTTCTCCCTTCTCTCAACCATCGCTCCTTGATATTTTAGTTCATATATACGAGGTCATGTTTATGGTGATGGTGATGGTTATGTGCCAAGTTAAAAGTATTTCTTGCCTTTCCATCCGTTCCTCTTACTCCTCCTCTTCTCCCTGGAAGCTCTAGAGCCATCTACTGTAACTTATGCTTACGCCGCGTGAATTCTCGTCATAGCTTGGCCTTGCCCGGTGACGACTCCTGCAACTTCTTGACCAAGCTATACGCCCACTCTCCAAATAGAGGCATCTGCGCACCGTAGTTTCTGGCCGTCACGCCGCTGGCCTGCCGCCGGGCGTACCTCGCCGCGATGCCCTGCATGATGATCGCTCCCCGGAACCCGCCAAAGGCGTTACCCCAGGCGAACTCGCTGGCGGCGTCGTAGCCCGAGGCTTCGGCGTACCACTGCACGACCTCGTCGCAGGTGGGCAGCCCCGGGGTGACGCCGTCCCTGAAAGCTTCGTTCCCGCTGTCGGCGTGAGCCGTGCCCAGGTTTCGCCCGACCCAACCCCACGGCGCCGCCAGGTTGACCAGATCCGACAAAGGATGGCCGATAGTGGCCATCTCCCAGTCCAAGATGCCAATGACACGCGGTTCCGTCTTGTGGAACACCAGGTTGTCGATCTTGTAGTCGCCGTGGATCAGCGTGACGCGGTCCTTGGGCTGCGTCGATTTTTGCTTGAAAAAGGCCACCATCTCGTCAAAGTGCGGGATCGCGCCCACGGGCTGCTTGGTCTCGACGTCGACCGCCTCGGCCTGCACCTTTGACAGGGTCCCAAACGTCTTCAGCTGGCGGTCGTAAAAGTTTCCGTGCCGCCCAAAGTCGGAGAGGCCGACCTTGTTGAAGTCGACCCGATGGAACTTCGCCAGCGTACGAACCGCGTCGTGCCACCTGTGTAACAAGTGCGAACGTTAGCACTTTTTTCCATTCCCTTTTGTCACCGCCGGTTTCATCCCAGCCCTTACATTTCTCTTCGCTCTTCGGGACTGAACCCAGGAAAGTGCGGCTCAGTCACCATGCGCCCGTCCAAAAACTCCATGATGTAAAAGGCCGTGCCGATGACATTGTCGTCCTGACACAGGCAGTAGACCTTCGGCACGGGCACGTCCGTTTTGCCCAGGGCGTTGATGATCTTGTACTCGCGGTCGACCTGGTGGGCGGTTCTGGAGAGCAATTGCCCCGGAGGCCGCTTGCGCATCACAAACTTGGTTCCCTTGGAGTCGGTGATCTGGTACGTGGGATTCGATTGACCAAACCCGAACTAATGGCGAAGGAACCCGTCAGTGACCCAAGAACCCAACACAAAAGTACTCAATCGCCAGGGATCAAATCCAGCAAGCGCGCGCGAGGAGGGGGACAGACATACCTGCTTCAACTCGAGGGGCGGCTTGATCTCGGGGACATTGCTGTCGATGTACCGCTCCAGAGAAGCCAGGTCAATCGGCTGCCGCACTGGGCCTGCCATAGCTGTCCGTCTAGCTAGTTGTCGAAGCAGACAGATAGACACACTAGAGTAACAGACAAACGAGGGCCAGCTTTCAAGAAGCACTCATTATCGAAAAAGAAAACAAAGCTGGACAAATGTCGGCGTGGCTTTTCGTTGCTGGCTCGCTGGGGCCGACCGTCACCAATGAGGCCGAGGCCATGATCAATTACCTCGGTTTTGTAGTTTGGGGTGCAGAGGCACAGAGGGCAGAGGGAAGCCACCGGAATTTGGTCACGGAATAATAGCCATGGCACCAATGTCGGCCTGGGCGGCTTTACGGAATTCCATTCGCGACGAAGCGAGGGCAAGGACTGTACGGTACGGAGGACTACAAGTGCCTGTACGGCGCAACATTTCCATGGAACATGTCAATTGCCACGATTGCCCCTGCCCCCCTTGAGGCGCAAGAACGCGCTCCCACGCGTCGAGGGGTTTCCGCGCTCTCCAAATGTGTGGTTTCGCGTCGAGGCGTTTGCTACCCATTACTGTCAATTTTCCCTCCTCAAACAAGATCTTTTCCCTGCAAAAGCAATGACGAGACCCTCGACTCCTCCTCCATCTACAGAAACAAAGAAGACAGACCACTTACCACCCTCACTGCCCAACTCTCCACTACCCAAACGTGTCAAGTCCGACGCTCCTCCATCCAAGATGTCTCCCACGACCAACTCCACGGCAGTGCCACAACTCTCCTCCTCGTCGCAGCCGCCCCTCTTGATCAGGAAGCTATCCGCCGACGCCTCCACGCCGACTCGCGGCTCCGCCTTCGCTGCCGGGTACGATCTGTACGCTTCGAAACCCATCACGATCCCCGCGCGAGGCAAGGCCCTAGTCTCGACGGACCTCTCCATCGCCACGCCCGAAGGCACGTACGGCCGCATCGCGCCCCGGTCGGGCCTGGCCGCGAAACACTTCATCGACACGGGCGCGGGCGTCATCGACGCAGACTACCGCGGCGAGGTCAAGGTCCTGCTGTTCAACCACGGCGAGGCCGATTTCCGGGTCAACAAGGGTGACCGCATCGCCCAGTTGGTCCTGGAGCGCATATACACGCCCGAGGTCGTCGAGGTCGACAATCTCGAGGAGAGTGTCCGAGGGGCAGGCGGGTTTGGGAGCACCGGCTGAGCTGTTCTCGTCCGTCTACTGATAACGAGCTCGGATTCGGATCGAAAGAGGAGTTTGTCGGCGTCTTCTGCGGCAAGTTTTGGCGAATGCGGTGCGGTGCGGCACAGGAAAATCCATGGCAAACACTAGAATAGGCTAAGAAACGGGAATTTATAATGTTGTGTGTGATATCTGCACCCTGTGTAAGGATAGGAGTTGTCGGGTCGCTCGAGCAGATGGAGGGATATCATACCCAAATGCCCGTGCCTCCTGGAAGAAATGCAATCAACCCCCCAAATCTTACATCCTCGCTCTTATCCGTTCCCCTGCTTCCACGTTGTCTTGGATAGACAGGCCATCCATCCACCATCTACACCTCGATTGGCTGAACCTTGTACCGTTCCTCTGGGTAGACCAAGTCCTTTGCATTCCTCACCACGCGCACCTCGGCGGCCTTGCTCTCAGCCAGGGCCCTACGCTTGCCTTCACCTTCGGTTTCGCCTTGGCCCTCGAGACCGCCGACGCTCGCGCCGGGGCTCGAGCCGAACTTGGCCATCTCCTCGTTCCGCGCGGCCATGGTCTTCTCCAGGATCATGTGCATGCTGTTCAGCACCTTCTCCGTGGCGCGAGCGAGCGGGAGGTCGACGGCCTCGACGTCGTCGTCGGGCATCCACGACGGCCGGTCCAGCAGGTTCATCTGGGCGCAGGCCTCGCGCAGCCGCGCCACCATCAGCGCCGCAAACATGTCGCCCGTGCCACTGAAGTAGCACTCGAGAACTGGCACCTCGACTTTGAACAGCCGCGCGCTGCCGTCTTGCCGCCGAGTGCTCCCCACCACGGTCAGTGCGGCTCCTCTCTCATCGCTTCCCTCGGCGGTGGGCGATGCGGAATCGCCCACCCTCACGCTGGTCACCACCACGTGCCGTGTCCCATGTATGACATGCAGCGCTCTCACCGCGTTGGCCACACCGCTCAAGCTCGAAATGGTCACGCCGCTGAGGAGTTCGGCCTCAAACTGGTTCGGGAGGATCAGGTCGGCCTCCTTGATGAGCTGCTTGTACGCAGGGACGATGTCCTGGCTGACGTAGAGTCGGCCCTGGTCGCCCATCACGGGGTCCAAGACCCAAAAGAACCCGCCTGGACGGACAGCGGCGCGGTACCGGAGGTCGCGGGCGATGGTGCCGACGGCATCAACGACTTCGGCAGAGGGTGAATAGCCCGATAGCAGTACGTCAAAGTCGGTCAAGTAGGATTGCCGCAGACCATCATACAACTCGCGAATTTCGGCCGCGGGAGTCCTCCGGCCCTTGAATTGGCGATACCCTGTGTGGTTGCCTTTGGAGTAGGAGCAAAGAGTTATGGTCAGACCAATGCTCATGTCAAAAGGAATGGGTGATGGATTATGCAGAGAGAGAAGAGGTGACCTGGCCGACTCGGGGTTGGCGATGGAGGGCAGGACGAAGGGATTGTTGTCGTCGCATAGTTCGATATCCCGTCGCAGATGTAGACCATGCCGGGAGAACAAGGGGACGGAAAAGAACAGTAACTCACTGAAATGCACAGTATTGATGGCTCCAACGTCGCAACCGAGCGCCTGCATCACGAAGGTGGCCATCGTATTGCCGACATAGCTGAACAAGACAGACAATCCGCCAGATACCGTCAGCCACTGACTTTGATCTCGATCTTGACTTTGCATAGAGGCCACACAAGATTCCGACGGAGCAGCAGCAGCATCATAGTTACCATCCCATAGCAATCTCATCGCTTTGGTCCCCGTGGCTGAGGCGCACGTGCGCAGTGACAAAGATGGAAGAAACAGGAAACAAGTCTTCGCACCGAGACAGAAACTCACCCGTAGACGACCTTGCACGGTTTCATCCTTGTCAGCCCATCGATCTATCCGACTGACCCGGTTTCCTGGAACCCTAGCCAGCCGACCAGCCAGACTCATATCGTCTCGTAACGGGACTTGAAAGCGCAGAACAGGGGGGGAAGGGAACCAGGATTGAGCCCGCCAGATAAACGCGAAGCATGGGAACAGAGGAACAAAGAGTCAACGTACATGGCTCGCTATGGCCAGAACTTTTGTTTCTGGTATCGACATTTCACAGGACGTCATCGCATCTTCCTCGAGGTTGCGGCACGATAAGGGAGTGGATGGGTGAGGGAGAGTCCTCTGCAAATCTCAGGAAAGGATCTCTGAGGGTAGAGTGAACGAGTGGTATGGCGTTAGAGAAAGGAAACCCGTTTGTCCTTGCGTCTGTCGCCTCTAATAATCTATCGTGAGAGCAGAAATAGTCAAGAGTGCACAAGAGTGACTGCGAAACATTGGGTCAGTGGCTATCCTCGGATATGTGCATGTAATAATATCAATTCAAAACATTTTTTTTTGGCTGAGGAAAAAGTATGACATCAAGCCCCCCTCCTCCGTTTCTTCATCCCACCAGAGCCTCGCCGCCCAACGCCGCCGATAAGGGTTTACGAGCGTTACAAATTATACCAAGTACATTGAAGGGATCTTACAAACTCCTCAATTCCTTTAAACGTGAACATGCTCATATGTGTCATCTGTAAATGAAGCTAAGCACATTTAACTACAGTTCTCAGTAACAAACTTGTCCCGGCACCTTGAATTCAGCCCCTCCTAAGTGATCCTCAAGGGGTGTCTAATTGATCCCCATAGAATATAATCAGAACTACAACGAAGCATTCGGCTGGACGGTGATGGATTTGGATCTGGAACGAAGATGCCACCTCTAACCTCAAGGGTCGACACGACCCTTATCCATGGGATTGTGATATGGGAAAATGAGTTCTGCATCGAACGGACTGGGTGCGGCAGTGGCTGACGGCCATCCCATCATACATCCTGCCCGTGAACAGGCCCTGAAACACAAGCCGGATTGTCCTTGATAATCTGCGCAAAAATCCGTAACAGCCCCTACTACCATTGACCGCATCACATTGTCGTAAATCTGTGACTCCATACAAGCATTTGCCGTGGTCGTCCTAAGCATTCCTCGTTCACTCATCATCACCAATCTGTAAAACACCTGAGTCAGTGCCTGGATGATTGCGCATGGCGTCTTGCTGGAAAAGCATACCTTGGGGGCTAGATAGAACCGCAGATAGCTGCTTCCCGACAGGTTGTATTCCACCAAAAGAGGCACTTCCTGGGAGAGGCAGAGTTTGACCTTTGTAGAAAGACTGCTTGCTTTGCAGAAATTGACGAGGTATTTGAGTGAAAAGGTCAGAGAGACGGGTTCGCTAAGGGCGATCTTTACTTCTTGATCTGGTTTGTCCACGGATGAGTTCTGTCGAATGGTGACGCTGCCGCTGCCAATGTCACCTTGACACGAAAAACGGACGCCGTCCTTGCTTGCTTCGATCGACACTGTATAAAATCAGCATGAGTTATTTTTCTTCCGGTCGTGTCCAAATCTTGTCGCCATGCAGCGTACCTGACTCCGACATGGCGATCAAATCGCGGCAAATGCGCTGGAATTCGGCACTCGGCATCTCGATCGTAGCTGAATATTCAGTGTCGGGGATTCCCAGATGCTCTTGGTCAATGTCCATCAACTTGATATCGTATTCGCTAATACGATCCGTGTCGCTACTCTCAAAGACGAGATTCACCACGTCGGGAGAGTCTTCGGCCTTGATGGTGAGGATGTCTTCGTTCTGGGCGGCACGGATGACTTTGGTCAGGGAGTTGAGGTTGATGCCGAGGGCTATGTTGCGGTCGCATCGGTAGGGAGAGAACATCTCTGCTTTGAGCATCATGGAGACGAGGGCGACGTGCGAGTTGTCCATGGCCTGCAGCGCGATGCCGGAGTCATTGCAGTCGAAGTTACAGTCTTGGACAAGGTCTTTGATGGCATCCACGACCTGCGAAGTGATTAGAAGCCAGTTTAGAGCCACGGGATGGTGACAGTACCTTCTTCAGCATCGCTGCCTGTTCGAGACGTGCTTCCAACACTTCAGGGATGTTAGCCAGCGTCCCGCCTGTACGGGATTCCTAGTGCTCACTGTTTGCGATTGTTGTGTGCCTTGACTTTGTGTGAGAGATAGATCGGTGAAGACGAATTGATTTTGGCAGACTGTACTTGATCGTTGAGCAATGGGATGGGACTACAAAGCCGCAATGGACAAGCACACAGGTCACGAATTTCGATATTGCACGACACGGGTCGCGAAGCGCGTTCGAGGCTAAACCGCTTTCGAACCACTTACGCCCTGGTCTTGGCTTATAACCACGTGCTGAGACTTCCGCCCTGCCGAGCCTCCTTTTATGAGGCGATCTGTCCATCCGCCGGGATTGCCCTACTGCTTACTCACTACTGCGTCATCGTGGCTGCTGGAAATTCCCCCAAGGCGAGAGGCATTTTGCTGCTTTCCCATGCTACTGGATGTTCTCGCTTCGAGAGAGCAAAAGTCCAGTGCTGCTTTGATGTTTGCCCGAGTTCCAACCCTTTCAAGACAACCTTCAGATGCACAACCCGGTTCTTTCCCTCTCCTTGGTCGCTGAGCAGCGGGTATGGCCCCTGTTAGGGATGTGCACTAAGGACATTCGAATTCTCGCAGACAGACTACTGGCTCTTGATCTCACCCAATCTTCCATGCATGCGCAATCAAGTACATTCTCAACCTGGCGCATCACGTGAGGCGCAGCGCCCTGCTTATGACGAATGACGAACACTGGCGGGTACCTACGAGTAGGCAGCAAGTCCGCCCCCGTGTCCGGCTCAGCCTCGTGGCCCTACGAGTACTTGGATATACTAGTATCCGCACCACCGTATTCGCCACACAGCACTGGCCTATCCGAATGTTCCCCTGACATCGCAACAAAGGGAACGAGTACGAGTACCCAAATTCTCCTGCAGCAATAGCCAACCCATTCGTAATGTCCGTCCCTCAGGGTATGTGCACCATGGCACCCTGGCGTTCCTTTCTTACCACTCTACATGTCCAGCTGTCTATCCTGGTGGGGGTTTGTGTCTGTTACCGCCACCGTTACACTCGACGTGCAGACCTTTCTCAGCCGTCTTTCCCGAGTGAACCGCATGTGACCGTCGACGCCCACATGTTATGGGCTTCCCTGGTGAAGCACAGTGGAGCCTGGCAGTGGCGACGTGGAACCGATTACCGGGTCCTCACTAGTACAACGTGGCAGCAAGGGCAATCTCAGGCTCGTGGACCGCAGCCGACGGAGAAAAGTCTGTCGTTCTCTGTGGAGTGCATGGCACCACGATGCAATGGAACATAGGATCCAAGGCCAGGGACCCAAAAAAAAAGAGTGAATATGCTCAGAGTCTCCTGGTTGACAGGGCCAGGACTCACTAGGAAAGGGAGGTCGTGGGGCCCTCCAGATCGCCTTTCCCAGACTGCAAAGGAGATCTAGTCGAAAGGAAGGGAACATTTATCCGTTCAATGCAACGATCTGATATGCTGTTGGTTGTGACCTGGCTGGTTACAGAAAATAGATACCGCAGAATATGTAACATGGAAATAAACCGAGAATGATAAGCCCCAGGGCGTTGGTTGCCAGCAACCTTGCTCCCGTCCCCCTTGCACGCGTCATTGCGTGAGAAAAGCTTCGAACCCGACTGAAATGTCAGTCTACCAACCGGCCAAAATCATCAAGGTAACTATGCACCAAGTTAGTCGAAGACTGTCGTGGAAATGGGATCGCAAGGTATCCAGTACCTCTGTAGGTAAGCAGATAAGCGAAAGCCGGGTATCTGCGAGGCTCGCCGCAAGTGGCGTATAGCCCTGTGGAAATATTGCTCGTTCTGGTGGGAATATGAGACGTTTCCAAGACTCATGTTGGCTTCAGCCGCCTGTATATGGTGAAGTCATGGTTAGCTTTGTGCCGTTCAGGTTCAAGTTGAGATGTGGAGGGCAAGTGGATATATGGACCAAGGAGGAAATCGTCCTGACCTCTGAGAGTAGTTCTCCGGTGGGTTCCCCATCTCTTTCGGCCACGTTTACAGCCCTAGAGAAATAGTCGACCGCCGGAATCAGCATCCCGCGTGCTTCCACATAATCGGCCGTGTGTGCTCTGGCGTCGGCTTCGGCAGTTGCTCGTTCTGCATCCCTAGACTCCTCGGCCGTCGAATACGACAGTCTCTCGCTTAGACTCTGAGGTCGACCGCTGCTGCCACTGGAGGAGCTGCCTTCGGTGCGGTGGATTCGTGCGAGGACGCTTTGAGATCGAGCTAGCCACGCCTGACCCAGCCCTGAAATTATGTAAGTAGGTGTATTGGAGAAGGGAAGGATTGGTAAGCTGTGTGACTTTGACTAACCCCTGAGCGCAGAGAGATCTTCGGTGTTTCTCTGGAGTAGCAACAACCACTGGTTCATGCACCACTCCGCGATATCGGTGACACCAACACCTTCCGCATCATGATAAGCCAGACTTTGTAACGTCGCGATGACGAATGTACGGTCGGTATTTCTGTTAGGCATCTGCACGAACCCCGTCGCGTCCAGCGTGGCGATGGCCGTACGCGCAATGTGTAGACGTTGTTCCCATGATTCTGGAGCAGAAGGATTTGTGTCAGCGATGCGCCTGACTTCCCGGATGGCCCCTTCGATTTGCGCTTCCTCGATCAGGTTGAGACCATCCAGCCTGGGCCCTTGGTGTGACATGCTCCGATATTTGAAAGGGACAATGGGTGAGAGATGATCAAGTTGGTTAGACAAGGTCTATACTGCCCGTTTCGAAGATGCAGCGACGAGTAGGTACAACAAATACTGCCACACTCGACATATCAAATCCTTCCAAACGAAAGTATGAGAAGGAGATTTCCCAAGAGTCCTGGATTGTGAGATATTGAAATAGACTTCAGCCACAGCACCTCGTGGCTACTATATACCTAGAGGGCAGCTGCGATGAGAAGTGGTCGTCTTGATTGATTCGCAGGCGACAGGGTCAAATGGAGACAGAAAGTGCGTGACAGGCAGACGAATCACAAGAGTCCTTGCCAATCCTTAGACAATACTTACATGTGCAGAGAGGGCTCGTTGATGAGTTTCGAGCCACCGTCAGGCTGTAATAACACTTCTATAGGACCACGAGATCAAACCTTGCAAGTTGGCGCGTGGCAAATGCGCTCTTCCAACCAAGGCCCCAGGGGCAACGTCCGGCTGCTGGAGATATATGGCCAAAGACCTAGAGCTGACGAGGGTGTGGGAACGAGACGGCCCATTAGGACGATCGTCAAAGAGATCCAGAAAGAGATAAGTGTCCCCTCTGGAAGGGAAAAAGAGGCTTGGAATTACCTGCAGCCACGATACGACATTCTCTAAAAGACTTTGCCTAACATCTGTGGCAAAGAAGATGGCGTTTGGGACTTGGGCCTAGCGATCAAAGCATGGGAAAAGGGTGGTCGATTACAGTATCACCTCAAAATGCCCTACTGCTCCTTTGAGATCTCTGAGCGGCGCAACAGGGGATAGCATGGCTCTCGGGGCTGTCGAGAGGTCCCCGTAGTATCGCCGCTACCCTTGAAGACGTCGTTTCAACTGCCACGGGTCGCAGGTCGGGACCGAGCAAAGAGGAAACATAGCACAGGAATGGAAAGGGCTCGGTGGGGGCCGGCTGACTGGATTCGAAAAAGGCACCAGGGGTACTGCGAGGGCGTGGATGCAGATCGATCGAAGAGGTCCGAGACGAATAACGCCAGTATGAGGCCTTTTGTCCCTTTCTTCTCGCCCGATATGATCGGCATTTGCGTGCGATGGGAATCTGAACGACGTTGGAAGAACTCAGATCTGACTAAAGGAGGTGGGAGGTAAGGGAGTATTTCGGTGGAAATAGGAAATGCTGATGCGCCAAGGCATTTGCGGAAGCGAGGGGAAGGGAATCACAATGAGCCAATATCGCAAATCTCCATGATGCTTTACCAAGTACGAGGTGCACAGTTAATAATATTACGTCGCCCTCGACCCGCCTAGTGTACCGCGCGAGAAAAAATTCCCCGAAATCCGAGAATTTCAAACAGCGAGGAACGTCGAGAGCTGGAAAAGGAGGAGAAAGGAACAAAAAACAACGCAGCGCAGCGACGGCGTCGATGAGGGCTACACTTTTCGTACAAGCACAGAGAATAACTCCATCAGAGGCCATGCCTAACTCTTGAGGACAAGATCGGGAAATAACGCAACAGGAGCCCTGACTGGGCCACCTCGATTTGGTCTGTAGGGCTTTAACTGGACTGGCGTCGGTGCCGGGTCGACCTTACATCCCGCTGCCTGTGGCTCAGACTCTGCTGTCGACCCAACCAGAAGCCAACCAGCCCACGGGGTCGGGCTCGTGGTCACTCTCTCACGCAAGGCACGGCCTATGACAAGGGCCAGTGAACCAGTCAGAGAAGGGCTCCCTCGTGCCCTCATCAGCCACACTTCCGGCCTCTTCAGCGATCCGAGTTCGCTCTCCCACCGAACCCAGCGGTTGTATTCCCTTCCGAGGGATTCTAGCGAGAGCTCTGCAGCAATTACTAAACACCCTGCAGTGATCAACGCAGGGCAATAACGGAGGATTATGTAGCACTTTGTTCCGAGTCCGATATGGTCAAGACTGCCCACAGTTTTTATATCATCAACCACCACCCGTCTCGAAACCCTCATGTGTCCAGTGCCATCACAAATTGGCAACCACCATTTCACAAAAGAGATTATGTGTAAACCTTCTGGTCTCGCCATCTTGGTCTTTGTTTCTGTTTCGACCGTCTCCATTACCCACCCACCGCAGTCCCAGCTATCCGCTGAGCAAGCCACCCCTGAGGCCACCTCCGAGGCCACCTTCTCGCACCGCCCTCTCCCATTCGGCGCAAACCAGCTTGGAAACTTCGTGCAAATGCCCGAAACGCACAATATGTCCAACCGAAATATGACCTTCCTGCCTCGGTAAATGACCTGACCCTTTTTTTGGTTGTTCGAAAACGCCCGATATTTCTCCCGCGAAAGAAAAGCCAGCCACACCTGGCGTATGGCCGAGAACCATCCCCTGAACTCCCTGCATGTGCTTCATGAAATTATTGTCGTCAATATTGAAACAAGGTAAGTCTCGATTCGAAATCACACAGGCCCCGGACTAGGGGAAGCCGACGTGCAGCGGACGAGACCGCGAGGGGTGGGTTATATCGAAGTGATGCGCGTATCAGATCTGGCCGGAGGGCGATGTTTGATTACCATCTGCAGTTCCCGCAGCATGTTGGTTGTATTTTCGGCGTGCTCCTGAAAGGTCGCCCGCTTCCTCCGGTCCTCTTGAAGTTTGTTGAGCTTCTCTTCGCGGCTCATTGGCGCCCAAGACATCCTCTTGCGTGGCAAGGCCACCGCTTCGAACACCTCTTCATCCAATCCTACACCACCATCAGATGAGCTCCGTTCGTCGCCACTCAGCAGCTTTAGTGCTTCTGCAGGTCCTCCATCCACCACCGTCAGTCCACCCAGACTGCTCGGAGAGGGCGACGCTGGTGATCTCATGCCGCTGGATGATATGGAGAAACGATTGTCACGTTCGGTCCCAACGTTGAGGAACATGGTGTTTCGCCCCTTTTCCCACTCGACTAGGGCGTTTCGAATCTCAGCCCCTAGCTGATCGTAATGTCCAGTGATGGCCATGCTGAGGGCGGAGTCATCTTTCGACTTGAGAGAGTTTATCTCTTCCCTAAGTAGGTGGACTTTGGCGTTCAGGGATCGTATAGCGTTGGCCACCGCTTCAAATCGGCGTAATTGAGCCTTGGTGTGTCGTTTTTGCGGCGTAGTGGCGTCTATGGTCCGTTCAGCTGCTGTTTCGGCGTCTTCCGACACCGTGTCCTGGCCGTCTTCGCCATACTCTTCATGCACTATAGCAGTGTGGAGTTGCTGACCTGCTTGGGAAAGTACATCCTCTAACCCTTGCAGCACATGGCATATCAGTCGCCACTGACGGACGTTGTACCAGACTGAGCCAGAGTGAAGGGCCAACAGATCACAAAGGAAAACTTTTCTCGCGATGAGATGAAGTCGGAAAAGGAAGCGAAGTTCTTTCAGAGAGTCCCGGGTGTCGAGAGGAGAGTTGTTGGCAACCGCCACGGCGTCGCTATAATCCTGCATCGAGACCTCGTATACGTCATGATATCTTTTCAGGTCGAGGTCCCTCACAAATGGTTGAATGACATTATGAGCTTCAACACATCGTATGATGTTGGCCGTCAGGGTAACTCCAAGGGTGGCTCGTAGATCACGACAACGACTCAATGAGTTCTTGTCTTCCAGTCGACTGATTGGCGGTAGTGGTTGGCTTCTAACGTGTGTCAGCGAAGGCGAAGTAATATGCTATTGCCACAACCCCGGCACTCACATCTCATATCCACGGGAGACAATCTCGACCTCCTGGATAAAACGAAGCGCCTCAACTGCGCTGCTATCATAGTTATGCGAATTCGTCACCAGATTCCCCAACGTCAACCCTGCACATTGCCGGAGAAATTCGAGATATTGACGCCTTCCGAAGTACAAAAGAACCAGACAAACCCCCAATAGGGACAACGAGTACACGCATATTTCTGACCAAGTTGAATGATGTGACTGAGATGTTGGATATCCCCGCTGGAGTAGATGAAGCGACCATGCGACTGAAAAGGAAATTCCGGCTGTTATACAAGCACCTCTGAGTGAGAGAGAATGTGGTGCGAAGGGTTGTTCATTTTGAAGAGGTTGTCGTCTCGGCTTCGGTTCGTCCGCGAGGAGTTGGGAGGCGACAATCACGTAGCGAAACCGCTCGAGGAACTGTTCGTTTGCAACATCGGTCACGTAGGCAGCGGTTTGGCGAATCGTTCGTAACTGCTCGCGCAGCTTTGGCAAGCCGCGAGGGGCATAGGTTCGTTGGGCGCATGAGACAGGGGAGGATGGCTCGGTGGCTTCGAAGGGGATGGCGTCTCCTTCTAGATATTCTGCAATCGGCGAGTCATTATAGATTAGAGCTTCCATGACATTGTCGGCGGATGTGGGCGTTAGAGAGGAGTAAGAACAAGGAGGGAGCTTGGTGGAGGTGTCGCTATGAGGACATGAGGCGAGAGACTGCAGAAGCGCGTTATGACGGGGACGATGGTGGCAACCGTGATGGAAAAGTGCCTGACGCAGGCAAACACACAGTAGTACCGAGTAGAGAGGCCTCAGGAGAGGAGCACAAGCCACGGTACCAGATGGGATGGCGGAATTGCGGATGACAGGCCCAAGCTTCTGCTGTCAGCGCGATACTTTCCCGGGGCGGCTGGAACGGTTCTCTTGGGCACCTAACCAGGCGTTCCGGCTTGCCGACAACGAGCAGTTGGGCCCGGCAGGAGACAGGCTCAACGGCGCAAACGCTTAAGCGCCCAAGGTTACCAGGTGCTGGGGTGCAAATCACAGGGCCTGTCCCCGTCGATCTTACCAACGTGGCTTGAAGCGAGATTAGCCCAATCACAACATCAATCTTCGGCAGATCCTTGACTCCCTTTCTCGAATATCTCCAGAATTCCAGCTTCTCCCTAGCGCGTAGTCACCCAGAAATCACAGCGAAGACCAATAATGACGGAGCGTGCAATTGAACAATGGTAGGACAGTGCAGCCCGCGATGCATCAGGTTTCGCACATGTTGAATGGTGAAAGATGTGGCTTTGTTTGTTGGGAGATGGAAGAGGAGACTTTGTCACTCACAATGCAATGTCATCTTCAAATTGTGACTTTGAATTCACTGTTTGTTGAGTTCGTGAAGGTCGTGTTAAAATGCATCGTTTGGCAGACAAAGGTTCTGCTGCACTCATCCTGTTCATGCATGCTTTCACCGGGAACTCCCAGAAACCAGCATCAAGGCTCCCACTGCTGATCTCTCTCTGTTCATATTTTGCTCGAATCGTTAATACTGAGAGTCAGTCGTGTCTTTCAGAATCTCACTCCTTTGAGCATGGCGTCACCAGGACCTCCCAGCGAACCTCCTCCGGAACCTGAGGCTGATGCACATGGTTTGCAGCCTGAGCTGTCCTTCCCAGATCTGAGCAGCGTGCCGGGCAATGAACTACGCAAGCTTACCGATACTACGATCGTCTCTGTCGAACGGAATGGCGAGATCTACGCGCCCATCTTCCGCCAGATGCAGATCCGCGCGGATAGGTACCAGCAATTCCACAGTGGAGTCATCCGTGTTATTCGGAACAGACATCACAAGCTCATTCAGCGAGGCTCTGATTCCAGTCTGAAGAACGTCACTGAACTCCTAATCCGAGCCTTCGCGTACATCATTTGGAAACCCGGATCGGAATGGGCCCTCGCAGATACTGATCTTGAGGAGGGGGAAGCCAAGTTGATCTACATCAAGGGCAAGAATAACATTCTAGACGAGAGGTATGAGACATGGCCCGTGCTGAGGTGGACGATGACTGCGCGATGAGACCCCGTACCCGTCGCTGACAGGAAGTTTGATAGGTTCTTTCCGATAATCGATCCTCTGTGGCGTCAAATGCGCAATCTGATGTTCACTCGCCGCCGACAAGGCCCAACACAACGGGGCAGGTTTTCCAGGCGCGCCGAGACTGATGGTGAAGATTTATACCCGGCCGATGCGGACACTCATTCTTCTTCTTCTTCGCCAATCACTGCTTATGAGCGCGCCCGTGCCCGAGCTACTGCGAAATTAGACAAATTGGCCGCGCACGTCGCCCGAATGGCTCCTCCTCCCGCGCAGTGGATGGATTCTGATCATACAGAGGAGGCCATCATGGACCTTATTGTGCGTCTGGTCGAGATCCGCGCCAACAGTGACCCCCACACGTTTGAGGAATTATGGCAAACTCATGTCATGCGAGTCGAGGAGCTGGATGACGGTCAAGGCACGCATCAGGCGAAGCCGGAGAAAGAGAGCAATACTGCCAGCCTTGCCAAAACAAACAAGCCGAATCCTGGCCTCGCTCATTACCATGATGGTGACCATCGTCAGCACCGCACATCACAATCGAACGAGCCTTTCATGACGCACGGAGCCCCAAGCTTACCTCGATCCCTGGTCTCTCAAGCACTCATCCCGCCATCGCTCCCGTCGGTTATATCTGTCTACATTAGCGTCTGTCGCCTGCCTACACGAAGCAACTTCAATACCATCTCGCACACGGCCGCGGCGTCCCTTGCACCAGCGTACCAGTGGCCCTCTGCACCCGTCCAAGAGCACAACCTTGCACCATTCTTCCTCGGAGCATGCTACCGCGTCGACGTTTCCCCATCAGCTGTTCTGGGTTAGGTACTCAGTTACGGATGGAATGACATTTGCCGATTCGTGTCGACCGGGCGCTTTGAGAACCAGGCTGTCCGGCATCCCACTAACCTTGCTACGCGTCCCACCCTAGCAGAGAAGCACAGTGCTGGCGGTGTTGCTCGTGCCGAGATCTCAACCCAGTCCCATCTCGGTGGTGCTTGCGACCACACTGTCTCCGACCGCGAGATGTTGGACGCGACGAGCCACCTCCCAGCACCGCAGGTATCCCTTCCCAAGCCAATACGCGCCGAGTCCTCTGCTCTAGCAACTCTAGCACCACGGACCAACGTCGACGACTTCACCGAGGAGGAGTGGCGGTTCATTGCTCTCGGCTGGCGCGACTTTCAGAACGACCTACGCCACGCAGCTCGGATGGGCACTCGGGTCTGGAGGATGAAAGTGGGCATCATCACCGCAAGCTCCGCCTGAGATTCTTGAGCCCTTTGTGCGTGTGTGCGTCTGTTTGCCCCACAGAAGAGGACCTAAGGTTTTTCTTCTCGAAACTCGGTGGGACAGGCCACCGGATGACTATGATGAAGATGTGTGTTGCTATGTAACACGCGGACTGAAAAAAAAAGGCAAGGTGAACGCGGTAGATGAATGGAACGCAATGGACTCGGTCGGTCGATCGTTAGAGTCGTGCCTCGACTCTAGAACCCACGCAGCCTGTCTCCGATCATCCCATACTCAGACGGAAAGAGATAGACCTAGCTGTCTAGAGACACCTTCCCGGATTTCATGGGAAAAGGCACAAAACAAAAAGGAAAATTCATTTGACTCTCCCTGACTGACTCTTTCTCGGGTAGTGAATCGAGAGTACATCTGGACATCTGTATCATTCGTTCGACTTGTTCGATCCTCTTTCCACTCGAAAGGGGTTTGTCCATTACAGAAAACAAAAAAGGTCTACATTATCCTGCCCTAGCCTACCCATCCTAGCCCTACCCTATCCAGTAATAGTAATAGTAATAGTAATATCAACGCCCGTGTCGCTCCCTTTACACACGATTAAGCTCTGGCTGTCTGAAATAGGCGCTCGCTTCGTCTTGTCATCCAGCATGTCTTCTTGTTCGTTATGTACAGCCGTGGTTCTCGGCGTCGAGTTTGTTTAGTTTTGATTTTCTGGGTTCGTTCTCGGCTGGAATAAAAAGAGCCTCATGGCCTTGGATGCATGCTTCAACTGAATGAGTCAAGTGGAACTGAAACCCCTCCTTGGGAACCGATATGCCCGGAAAACAAATACCCAGACAACGTGAACCCAAGCCAGAAAATGGTCAACATCCCAAAACAAAGTGCGTCAGTGCGTAGCTTCCGAGAGCTCGACGCTGGAGCTGAAACGCCAACAACGAATGCTTGCAAACAAAACACGCATCAGGGCCACCATTCCATCCTCTCATAACTTGAGATCATCTCTCTCACGCCCTCCTCTGTCAGGCCATCAGGCCGCTCGTACTTGAAACCCACGACGCGTTCGAATAAGCTGCCGTCTAGACTCAGATCTGTGTCTTTGAGCAACTCCTTTTCCATAAAAGGACTGAGAGGACCGGGTTTCGTGATGCCCTTTTTCTCGAGCATATCGGCCCACGGCTGAAGAATATCTTCATTGAGATCGTCGACGACGTGCTCGAGATTCATCTTTGCAAAAGATGATATGATGGTCCCGTGGAACCCAGTCTTGATATCGAAAACTTTGGAAATAACTTCAGCCAGTTTTCCCTGGCTTGTTTCGCCATGGTCGACGATGTTAAATATGGGCACGTTGCCGCTTGGTGCGTCCTCTCCTTTTGTTAATGTCGGTCTTCGGGTGACTGTAGGCGAAGAAGATGATGAGATGGTTGAATTCTCCGACCTCCACTCTGCCGCTGCCCACAAGGCTCGCGCAACGTCTTCTACATAAACTGTGTTGATCCTCAAGTCCTCGGTCCACAGCCATTTCATCTCCTTTTGCTGTTCTTGATAGACACGAGCAAGACATAATCCTTTGGCAATGAATTTGGAGTCATACTGTCCGTAGACATGCGCTAAGCGCAGGATGACCAGATTCAAGCCTGGTATTCTCGACAGCTCTTGTTCCGCTTCTAGCTTCACCTTGGCCAGTTTCAGCCACGGCTTCAACTTGTCTTGCTCGTTGCGTGGAGTACGGTTCGGAGCGTAAACCATGCCTGTACTGACTTCGACAAAGGACTTGACGCGACGTTGGGCTGCTTCCTTCGCCAGTGTCACACTCAGCTGCCATGAGCGCAGTTTATATATTTCTGAAGTCTGCGACCAAGCTGTCTCGCCGGCGCAGTTGAAGACGAAGTCCCAGGTTCGATCGGGTCCGTCCGGATGCTCAAAAACACGGGCCATCGACGTCTCGCGAGACGCATCGGCCTGTATGAACTTGTCCGGGGAGCATGCATCGCTGAATTCTGGCGCAAGATGGGCGAGCTGAGGGAGGACTTTATCGACGAGACGAACGGAGGAGGCTAGGTTCTGCGAATGAATGTATTTTGCCAGAAAGCGACCAATATACCCTGGTAGAAACCTGTTAGCGCATACGCTTTGCGACGCATCTCAAAGGGCCTGCATATACCGAGACCCCCCACTATCAACACAGACGGTTTGGAGGTGCCATTGAGTGTCCCATTCTGGTCGGACATGGCCGCAACAATAATCAATCCAGCGAGTGGCAGGGCACAAAATGACGAGATTCAGGGAAACAAAAACGCCTGGCAGAGCCGAGAGACAACGCCCGAGATAGAGAAATGCCTGTTTTAATGTCCAGCTCCTGCTCAGATGGGCGGATGAAACTGGCAGGTGCCGAAGGGAGGAGGGTCCTATTGACCTTGGACCAAATTAGGTATCACAATAGCCTCTCTGCTTTGACGTCGACACCGGAAACAGTGGGCACAAGAGTCCACCGACGAGGATGGGGGGGGGAGGGAAAAGTGGCCAGTGAGGGCCACGAGTTCGAGACCTCGACGGGGGGTTTGCAGGCTCGGGCCGTCAGTGGCAGGTGGCAGGTGGCAGGAGGCTGAGGGCGGGGGATGGTTCGGGTCTCGGCAGGACGAAAAAAGCTGGAGATGGCGTGGGATGGCGTAATTAAGAGGAGCAATAGTCGGAATTCCAAAGAGTCAGATGATGCTTTTCAAGGATGAGGATGCCAGGAGGGAGAAGGGGAATGGCGGCCACGAGGCAGATGGATGTCTGAGGACGATGGAACTCGAGGGAATTGTCGAAAGAGGGATTTTATTGTACTGTTTGCGAATTTGTGCATCGAGCAACACGCACGCGAGCCGTTAGCCTTGCATTTGCGATCTGCTGCAACATGTGCTTTTTGCCTTTTTGAGGCTCAGGGGTTCATGCAGGTCCGCCGTTTGTGATCGTAAAGGGGTTGTGTAAACGGAGGTGGCGATATTTCGACAAGGTGGTACCTGAACTGTCCAGAAGGGTGTGCCTGACGGCGTGAGAGAAATCCCAAGGCGTCGAGCTGCATATCCGATGCACTGGCGGGAAGCAAAGTAGTTGGGAGGATGCAGGGGTATCACGAAGAGGGCGAGCAGATGAGCAGCAAGTGCAGAAAACGCAGGTCGTAAACAGCATGGCTCGTCCGCGAAGTGGGCGGCACCAGACGGCAAGCGACCTAAACAAGGATCGGCTGCCCACCTTTCGAGGGAGCTGCAGCAGTCTAAGACTGTCCTAGGGTTCGTGGGACGCTGTAACGGCGGAAGACGTGGAGATGGTTGACAGTGATGGGCGATCAGTCACAATGTATACAAGTGGAAGTTGTGATGAAGCACGGTTGATGTCTGCAAGACGATAAACTCTATTACTCCGGAATGATGCTATCACAACTTTCACCCCCTTCCCATGTCCCTCGAATGCGCCCTCTTCAAACCACCATAATGGCGCCAAGTCCGAGTAGTACCGAGTACATGCAAACAGAAAAAGGCTCACTAGCACAATACATGGTGGTTGCACCAAAACCCCCTGGTCGATACCTGACTCGCCGACTCGTTTCGCGTCTCCCCTTAAGTCAAAGAATGTTCAATGGCCCTTCAATGAGCCTCCAGCCAAGCAAGACTATTGCACAGCCTTGTCTGCCCACTGCCTTCTTCATCTCTCGACTGCGTTTTCCCCGCTCATCTTCGCGAACATGGTAGGAAGTTGGGCAGATTGCACAACGGCAAGGTAGGTCAAGGTGGTTCATCACGAGTCTCTTTTCCACCCGAAGAGCTTTGACCCGGCTCCTGCTCTTACAGCCCCCCCACGCCTCATGCTGGCGCTGGTAAATCTCAATTCATTGAACTCCCTTGGTCTAATACTTCCCACAAGTGATCCACCCTGTATAGGTATCATGAATGCTGTTGCCCAGATCGGGGCCACATGTCCCTTTCGCCGAGCCAGGTTGATAGCTCTCGTTCCGCCAAAAACTGTCTTCGTAGGTCGAGGTGTGTTATTTGGTGGGCGCGGGCCTTGGTTGGGCTTTGACATTTGTCGAGAGCCAGCTCTGTAGAAGAGGACGTCAATAAAGTGCACTGCTATTTCAGGAAATAGGTATTCACTCACCAACCCCTCGAGCAGTCCTTCTCCTGTGGTCGCGCAGCTGGGCACCACGTACCAAGTCCGATCCTTGAGTTGGCCCAGTCGCAGCTTCTCAGTCACCTCAGTAGGGGTCATGGAGCCTGGGATATCTTGTTTGTTTGCAAAGACCAGCAATAGCGCCTCTTTCATTTCTCGATCCAGAATGATTCTGTGGAGTTCTTGTCTGGCTTCGTCGATGCGTGCTCGGTCGTTGGAGTCAATCACGAATATCAGACCTTGTGTGCCAGAGAAGTAGTGTCGCCAGAGCGGCCGAATCTTGTCCTGTCCACCTACATCCCAGACATTGAACTTGACGTTCTTGTAGGTCACGGTCTCGACGTTGAAGCCTACTGTGGGGATGGTTGTGACGTCCTGGTTCAGTTTCAATTTGTATAGAATTGCTGCACACACGTCAGTCCTCTGCATCGCCGCCGACACACGTGCGGCGCCATTGACTGCGCACGCCGCTCTATCTGGACTCACTTGTTTTCCCAGCAGCATCAAGCCCTAGCATCAGCAGTCGCATTTCTCTTGACCCGAAGATCTTGCCCATCATCTTGGATATTTGGTTGCCCATCTTGTCTGTCTTGCTGCAGGGCGCAGCTTATCGCTCAGGAGGTGCGACGATGGTGGGCGCAATCAAGTAGCAGCCAGTGTCTTCAGATTGCTTGCGGGTCACCAACTCGATTCGACCCAGCAAGTGAATTCGCCTACGCAGAACTCGGAGGATGAGGCCAAGGGCGGAGTTTGGGAATCTGAAGCGATTATTTCGTAGAGCCTCAAAAACAGGCTTCCGCGGTCAAAGAATTTCAGGGGACAATCCCTTCGATTGAGTGGATGAAATTGTTCCCTCGCTACTGCAGGCGCGGTTCGCGCTCTCCAAGTTCGGAAAGGGGCGCAGCGCAGTTGCTGAACACCAAGGTGGATTTAAGGAGAAACTCAGACTAGTCCTAATACAGAATAGTTCAAAGCCTCCCAAGCACGAGGACAAACGTTAGAGCACGTGTCTCACTGCCTTGATCTCTTCTGGTGCCATGAGGATCCCGTCAACGAATGTCCAGCCTTCATATCTCATGACCTTCCACTTCTCGACCACTTTCTTCGTCACCAAATCCCCCGTAGCTATTGCATCCTCTTTGGAATCATGTCCAGCCTCGCCCGCAGTCTGGATACCTCGCGACAGGTACTTTTGGCTGAGCATTTTCAGGCCATATCGTATCGGAAGTCCTCGCGGGTGAGGATACAAAAGGACCGTATCAACCACGCAGGGATGTATGATCCTCACCACGTTCAGATCGTTCTCAATAGCGTGGCCTATCAGGGGGGTTTCCCGACTGATGTGGTCAAACAGTAATTGCCTGGCTGTAGCTGGCGAGTCCACTTTACGGAGCTGGTGTTTGTCGAGATGCGTCTTCGAGACCACTTCAGAGAGACCGTCTTCGTACGGCGGCGCAGCTGCATAGTCTTCTTTCGTCACCCCAGAGAATCTGGTGTTCAGATCGAGGATCTCCCCAAAGGGTCGAACCAAGACGTCAAGAAGTAGTCTTCCGTCAGGCCATGAGACAGCCGTCACTCGGATGACCTCCATTCCATATGTGGTGTAACCCATTTCGCAATCGAACGAAACAGGCTGTCTCAGCCGTAGATCAGACTTTTCTGGGGTTTGTTCAAACTGCAGGGTTGTCGCGAGACGCTTGGGGTCTTTGACAACGAACACATGTGTGTCAGCTTCAGAACAGCCTTCACTGCCTTGTGGTTTGTTGCAGCAAGGGTAGGTTGCTTCTGATGTTCCTTGAATTCTATCTTTCTTCAAAGGAGCCGTACGGTTCAGTCGAGCCCAGTGATAACGGCACCGTCCCTGGCTGGTCAAGCGGCCCGTGTCATCTCGACCGGGAAACACTTGAAACCTCGTCCCACACCGATCGCAGCTTTCAAAGCCCCTAGCAGCCTCCAGTCCCGCTTTCGCAGAGGTAAGTTCTGGACTGGAGGGTTGTTTGGTTACATAACCGAATTGCTCGAGGCCTTCGAGGGGAGTGTGGAGATGCTTGAGAACAGCAACTTGTTCATGGAGAGATGACAAGCCAATGGCCAGAAGTTCATCGCTTTTGTCAACTGGCTTCGTTGGGGCTTTGACCGTCGATGTTGCTCCAGTCCATTGAGAGACTCTCTTGACCCATTCCTCCGTGGTCATCTTTCTGGTTCGTAGAATATTTTGAGCCATGGTGTTCTTGTAAATCTCACCTCCCAATTTTGTCGCAGCTTCTTCTTCGTCGAGGGCGAACTTGATCAACTCCTGATCGTCTAGCACGAGCTTTTTGGATTTGCTGTCCGAACTAGCAAGCTTGCTGTTCTGGGTCCGCATCTCCTCGTGCAACTTCTGTAGTACCGTCAATCTTGTTTTCAGGAGAGCTGGGGCATTCGCCACGTTGCGGGGCGTCAGGGATTCGACTTTCAGTGGTTTCTTCTTGACTGGGAGCGAAGATTCCGTGCGCATCTTTGTTGGTGGTGGTGACACGGGTCTTGTAATTGAAGCTGGCTTTGTTTTGGCATTTTCGTCCACCACATTGCGCAAAATCCGACCGGGAGATGAGGTTTCTTGCACGGTACGACTCACTGTCTGGGAGGGTGGGAGCACTTGTTTTCCCAGGGCTGGGCGAGTAGAGGCCTCTGTGCTTCCAGTCACTGGTTGCAGAACATCAGGCTTCTCTGGTGGCTCGGGAGGAGTTTCTAGTCTCCTCCTCTTTGACGGCGGGGATGATATGTCTCCGGCACTGAAAGGATCGTATTCCTTTACCGGGTTGAGCACTGAGTCTGCCTGAGGACTAGATCCTCTCCAGCTATGTGAGAAGATACAGGTTTGTAGGCTGCACTCATCCTGGCGAGGGCATGAAACATTGCGAAAAAGACCCAGAGACGAGAACATATTCAGGGAGTGCGAGGACGATCCTGGGCGGATAAAGGATAAGTGGATGATGATAATGATGCTGGTGCTGGTGCTGGTGATGTGGTTGCGGATGCCCTTGAATCCTGTGTTGTAACGTGGTCCTTTCCAGTCGGAGGTGGAGGAGCCTAGGCGAGATGATCAAGAGCAAAATACCACAGTTGAAGGTAGCCGCTAGGTCTGTTGGGAAGCCTATCGCAGGTTCGCAGCCCACGACCTTCAGCAGAATGTAACGCCGTATTTCCTTTTTGGTAACCAGTGGCTGGCGAGACTTGAGGCTGCCTCTAGAGTTGGGGGTTTACGCAGGCTTGATCAACGAGCAGATCGAAACCTTGTTTCCTTTCAAGTCATCCGAAGCCTTGCAGTTGGCGCGGTTGGTGATAAGCCTGCTCCCAAGGCCCAGCGGCAAGGTCCGTTCATGCAACGAAGACGACTCGGGTGTGGGAGAGCTAAGCCGTCTTATCGCCTGTCCAAGAATGGCTGAGATAACGCCCACGGGCGAGTAGAAGGAACTAGATGAGGGTTTCGAGTTGCCGAGTGACGCGTGGGGAGAAGGTGATTTAACAGTTATAAAGACGAAGAAGCCGCCGTGGGAAAAATGAGGTAACTCGTATGTCATCGAGTCATTTCCTTCTCCGGAGCGCTGCAAAACACATCTCTACTTTTCCCAGGGAAATCCCATCGATAGTTGATTTGGTTTGTTCAGTTGAACCCTGCGCGATCGCTATTTGTTCGAGGTGTGAGGCTAGGCTGTCAGCCTCGCAGCGGTTGCACCAACAGCCTCCGTTGTGTGAGAAGTGCCACGATTCAGGCAGCTGTGAGATCCTGGTGTGAATCTCTGACTTCGACTGTGTATGTCCGTTGTGCAGAGGGGGGACCCGTGGCAGGATTAGCTGGGGGGACTGACAAGCTGTGAAGTCAAAACTGGGTCAGTGACACAAGAGAGTCAGCGCCTGGATCACATTCCCGGCGGTTTGGGAGGCGGTTTGTTAACTCTAGAGGATCGCTTGGGATCGGGACAAGCAAGGCCGTGTTCCCAAATCCCACGAGCACAAAGACAGGGGTGGCCGAAGAGTGACTTAGCGCAGCCAGCCTGTAAGCAACCGAAAACCAGGCACCAGCTATTGCGAGCCCAGGGGCCTTGGCTGCCCACTGGCTGATCCCTGACGCGCACCTGGTACAAAAAGCCATGCTGATGCCATCATTACCCTTTGACCTTCGCAGCCTCGACACCCAGATCCTCTTCGCCAACTGGCAAATGGCCCCCATTTCGAAGAACACCCCTAAGAAAGCTCAGCATCTGGTGGTTCTCGTCCACGGCCTCTGGGGCAATCCCGGTCATCTCAACTACATTGCAAACGCCCTGCGTGATCGCTACAGTGAAGAGGAGATCATAGTCCTAGCCTGCCGCAGGAACCTAGGCAGCCTCACCTATGACGGAGTGAATGTGGGCGGAGAACGGGTCGCCAAAGAGGTTGAAGACGCGGTGGAAGAATTGAACCGTGATGGACACAAGATTACGCGCTTTTCCATCGTGGGCTACTCCCTGGGAGGTCTCGTTGCTCGCTATGCCATTGGACTGCTCTACCACAAGGGCTTATTTGAGAAGATAACCCCGGTCAACTTTACCACTTTTGTCACTCCTCATTTGGGTGTTCGCACTCCCTTAACTGGCTACCAGGTATGTGCAAAGCAGACACACCCAGAACCTCAGAGCCCATTTCTGTTCTAACTCAAGAGCACCAGAATCATCTCTGGAACGTGCTAGGGGCAAGATTGCTTTCGGCGTCGGGCCGGCAGCTATTCCTGAGCGATCGACTGGGCGATAGCGGCAGGCCTCTGTTGAGCGTCCTCGCAGATCCTGACAGCATTTTCATTCATGCCCTCGCTCGATTTCAGCATCGTACACTGTACACAAATATCGTCAATGATCGATCCGCCGTGTACTACACGACTGGAATCTCCAGACATGATCCATTTGTTGACTTGACCAAGCTCAACCTGAATTATGTCAAAGGCTACGAACCCGTAATATTGGATCCAGACCACCCCTACGATGTGATACCTCAGGACGAAGTGCCGTCCTTGTACCAGAGACTTTCCACGCAAAGCCACCACTATCTGCGTCGGGCACCGATATTGCTGGCGCTGGTAGTCCTTCTCCCCATCGTCTTGGTGGCGTTCGTGGTGAACTCTGGAATCCAGACATTGCGCAGTCGGCGGAGGATCATGCTTCACGAGGCCGACCATCATGATGAAGGGTTTGGGCTGTACAGAATCCCGTGGATGGTCCAGGAGATGCGTGTTGGGCTTGAGGATGCTTTCGAGAACGTGAATGCTTCTCAGGAACAAGAGTATCTACCAGAGGGCTCGGAGATAGCTGATGCAGCCGTAGAGGATCATGTTTCGTCTCCAGTCGCATTTGCGAAGACCTCGTCTGAATCATTCCTGTCTGAGAAATCAGACAACGATGAGCTTTTGCAATCTGAAAGGTCTTCCAGCGTCCCGACCTTGGCCCTGACCGCAGCCCAATTTGCCATGATCAAGGCGCTGGACGATGTGGGATTCCGGAAATTTCCTGTATATATCCACAAAAGCACCCACAGCCATGCGGCGATCATTGTGCGTGTCCCGAAACCAGCATTTGAAGAGGGAAAATTGGTGGTCAAACACTGGTTGGACAACGAGTTCCACATCTAGGTTTTGTTGTTTGTTGTTTGTTCAGTTCTCGTTGACCCCATGCGGACCTTTTTCTACACCGACCACCATGGGGTAAGTCCCCTCTTTTTTGATGGCATGTGGTCTTTTGGGGGTTGTGGGATGGCTAGTGAAGCAGTCGGTGTCATGTACAGCGTTGATCTCGTCACTCGGGTACACATATTCTAGCATTTTGGTGGGTTATCTTGAGGACCTGGGTGGATTAGAGCGAGAATCATCATCTTCATGGACACGCCTCGTTTATGCGCCTTGTTATGCAAGGACCACAGCTCCAGCTGCAGTTGATTCGACCTTTGTATGTACTATCACGCCAGTGTCCCGTCTCTTGCCCCTCTTTTGTCACTGGGAATGGGTGGACAACCGAAAGCCAGCAGGATGAGGAGCGGGATGCCTGCAAAATCCCACACCTAGAAGTCGGTGTCTTGATTGGGATAATGGCGGCTATGCTCTGACAACTCCCTTTTTCTGGACGTATCAAACTCGTCACATGTGAATGGCAACAATGTATCTCCGCCCCTCCCCTCGAGGCTTTGAACCCTCCTCGCGAGGCTCCGCAGGCAAGCTTAAAGCGTAGCGAAAGAACGAATGGGAAGGCCACATGGTAAGGTCTCCGAGCCGGATCCTCCTGACTAGGGAAAGCCGGGACACAGGTTGATTTTGGTTGACGATGGAGAGTGATGACAGCAGTGGCGTTGGATGATCGTCGCCTCCTAAAAATGAAAGCTCCAAACAAATGTCAAGAGAGAAGGCTGAAAATTGGAGACGGCCAGCAACCGATTCGTTACTTAACGCGCATTTGGCAAACAGAAGACATGTGGACCACTTTACAGAGAGAAAAAAAAATCTGTAACTCGACGTCTCGGCGATATCCAACCGTGGGTGGCTCTCTGTCATCTTCCCTACACCAGTGATGTATCAGAGACCGCCCATGGCTGCGGCTTTTCAAACCATCCCTACCCCCTCAAGCACGCAACAGGGGTCTCTCTCTCTCTCTGAAGTTTCGATGGACCGTCTCTGGTGGGATCTGACGATCAGGTCTCGTATCCGCCCGCCAGGACCGAATCCCACCACAGCGACGTCATTCCTATTCCCATTCCCCATCGTACTCTCTCGTGCTGTGGCTACGATGGACTGGTCGAATAAGTGTTGCTCCATCCTTTCACCGAAACGACCGCCTTGTCCAGTTTTCGTTGATATCCACTGTTTTTGGTTGCAAGTGCCTGATATCTTTCCACTTTTTGGGTCCCACGTGTGTTTCCGATTTGCCTTGAGGGTCTCTCTCCCTGAAGTGGCCTTGACGGGTTGAAGGCTGGTATATAAGAGGCAACCCCCCCTTTCTCCCCGGAGTATGGAAGTCCCCCTGTGACCAACTCCATATTCTCCAAGCCAGCAATAAATGACCGAGACTTGCCTTGGTAATTTGGGAAGTCAATATCTAGACGATCGTGCTACCTAGAGACAGGGAAGAAACCAATAGGTTACCATCATGTCGACCGAAGGTCCGTCCGCGGATGTGGACAACAACACACTCTATCCCACCTCCAGCAAAGCATCTCAGCGCACCATGCGCAGGTTATCCAGTCAAAGTGCCCAAAGGGCGGATCTCTTTGGAGGGCCTACCGTTGTTGTACCGCCACAACATATGGACACTCACAGCCATGCCAACGAGACCGCCCGTGCCATGGAAATGGCAAAGCATCATCTGGCCGAATCATCACCAACCATCACCCCCCCCGAATCGGGGCCTACTACTCCCGACGACAGCGGCCTGAGCACAACCGACAAGTATGCCTTCGCTTTCGATATAGACGGAGTTCTCATCAAAGGTGGCAAGGTCATCCCAGAGGCTGTTGAAGCCATGAAAGTCCTCAATGGGCAAAATGAATATGGCATTAAAGTGTACGTGGCTCTAGCATTTGAACCTATTGGGATATTGGCATACTAACTCTATGATACAGTCCTTACATCTTCGTCACCAATGGTGGCGGAAAGACCGAAGAGGAACGATGCATCCAGCTCAGCAACCAACTCCAAATGGAGGTGTCACCCGGCCAGTTCATCTGCGGACACACTCCAATGAGGGAAATGGCCGAGAAGTATCACACGGTCCTCGTCGTCGGTGGCGAAGGTGAGAAATGCCGTGACGTGGCCAAGGGCTACGGCTTCAAAGATGTCATCACGCCTGGCGACATAATCAAAGATAACGCAGACACCACGCCCTTCAGAAAATTGACCGACGAAGAGCACCGAAATTCCAACGTCCG